GCTCCGTCGTGTCCAGTTTTTGCCCATTGTGACTAGTAATGCTATGAAGATCTCACATCTAAACCATTGTAGACTTGAGACTCTCTTGAGAGAGAAGTGGAATTAATGAATATCATGGTTATATTTATCTTCAGTTCTACCATTTAATGTCAAACTGTCTTGCAAGGAAGTTTTGGAGTGGACCAAATCACACTTCCACCAGCTATCTCTTTTTAGGGAGCAGAGAAGCTCTTTGTGTTGTTTCCATCAGTACTATTTCTATTTCCAAGTCACGAACCAAAAGGGTCTGCTGCCTGCCCCCTCAGCACCCTGAAGAGTCACACATGGTGCACAGGAGCCATTCCACCTTCTGCTTTGTATCTTCTCGTAATATAATTGACAAGTCTTAAAAGATGTAGCAGGAAAACAGGGGTGTTTTAAGAAACATCCTTGAGATAACATGGTATCTTTTGAATTCATGTGCTTGGTTAAGAGGCCAGCCAAGTACGAGAGTGTCCTGGCCACCCTCGCATGCCCCTGGTGCGAGGGAGTTGAGGAAAGTCCATCATGTCCAATAACTGGTCAGCTGGCCCTCTTTAGAGTAGAGGAGGGTAGAGGGCACAGCATATGGGACCAGAGAAACGGTAACTGCCACTTTCTCTTTTGCCTAATCAGAAAACTTCAAAGGTTCTGGTTTCAGCTCACAAGAAGCTGCTATTCCTTTTTCTCTACAAAGTATTAGGAGATAGGGCAGAAAGTTCCACTCCTTTAATGCTCAGCCTGCTGAAACCCCATCACCTGGAAGACCAAGTGTTATAGCATTTCTGCAGCATGATGTAGCACACACTGAAAAAGCACAAATAAATCCCAAGCCCTAGCACACATTTATCCAGTTTGTGAAGCGGATTAATAGAATAACCAATAAAACATGTATAAAAGCTTTAATTAAATCTGATGAAATAAAACTTCATGTTTTATTTATGGACACTCCCAACATGTAAAGGATTCAGGGACACATTCATTTTTACTGCCATTTCGTCCTCATATCTATAATTAAATCCAGGCTGCAGCTCTGGCCCAAAGCAATGCGGCATTTTAAAGCTGGCCTTAGACATTCCCTCCCCCACCCCCATCTGCTTCTAATTATAATTACCATCCCAATATGCAGGAGGCTGATGGTAAAACAAAACAAAATAATAAAACAAACAAACAAACAAAAAGCGGTTGTTGCCATTGTGTTTTAAAACAACATGCTAAAGGAGGATTTCAGGCAGGCGGGTGTATCCTCTAGTTCCAGTTTTATTCTGTACCAAGTGCACAATCCCTTCATTTTACTTTTGACATAAAAAAAGGACTTCATGAAACAAGACAAAATAACTTATGATTATATGAAACATAACTGTGACAAATCACAAAACTATACATATTAATAGAAAAAAAAGTGTACCTAATTCTTTAAAAGATTTATGACAATAAGCACCAGATGTGCCCCTAGAGTAAAATCGGCCCCATATCCAGTATGATATATGCAGTTCATTTCTCTACGTGATTATATATAACTATGTACAAGAGTCTGTGTGATTTATGGAAAACAGATTTCCACTTTTTCCCCCCCAAAGTGCTTTATGTCAGCAACATTACACAGGATGTTTTGCTGTCTATACAAAAGGAATCTCTTCTTTTTTACACTAGCCATTTCTCCAATGAATAGTTTTTCTTTCTTTCTTTTTTGCTTTATTCATTGCAAAAAAAAAGAAAGGAAAAGAAAGAAAGTGACTGTAGAAATTCCACACCACCAACAAAAGTGCCATTAAAAAATGATACTATAAAATGACGTGGTCAAAGTCAAATAAAATACCAAATAATTAAATTGAACATTTACAACGACTATTCCCAATACTTTAAGGCAACTGGAAAGTCAAGGTTCTCGGATGGAGGCATTAAACATTTACCTCCATTCTAGTTCACTAATGTGCTTGACATCAGATAATTTTAAAAAACAACAGAACAGCACTCTGTTACCACCAGACACTGTGCTGTGATACACTGAAGACCTTTTGTCCACTTTAGAATCACCTTTGTAATTTGGGGGAGACATAGGAATAGGCAGCTACTTCACAGGACTAGTAAATATTTAAATAATATTTTAACAGCTAATCAGTGGCTAAATTACACCTGACATTTTCATGCAGTCCTGTTAGGGAATTAAGGCAATGCAGTAAATAAAATGTCTCTAGGCATACTGATTTTTTTTTTTAATGGGATAGGATAATTGGATGTATTTGGATGTATTTTCACAAGAAACAGTTTTTGTTTTTTTGTTGTTGTTGTTGTTTGTTTTTTTAAAGGGGGAATGACAATCTCTGTTTGGATATTTATGAAAATACCATATCAAAACTAAAAAGGCTAGGAAAGGGCAGGGAATGATTTTTTGAAGTTTCCACTTTTATTGCTACGAACATAATCATGGGAAGCATATATAAGTTTTCTGCAGTGTGAAAGCAAGCAAGGGACAGGTCAAGGGAGATTCTGGAGTCTAAAGACAGCATGTATAGTCTAGAAGGAACTTGAGTGTGACATGTCCTGAAGCCCTCAGCTCTGGGGTACACTGAGGGGTAGGAGAGGGCATGTGACTTTCCACTGCCCTCCTCCACTGGGTCTTTTTTCTTACACACTCACTCTGCAAACATGAATGCCCCTCAGGGGCAGCATGAATTCCTGCTGAGGAAGGTTGCCTTGTAGAGAGTGGCCACAACCTCCTATCTTCCTTTACCTACACCGAGGACAGGCCACATTATGACCAGAAGTGGACATACCACCATCTCCTCCACCCTAAGAACCCTAAGAGGGAAACAACATCCATAGTTTCTGAGATTCAGGTCCTGGATTTCTCCTTCTTCCCCCTTTCTACTTTGAACTAATAAAAAAAGCCAGAAGGCAGGACTGACAACATCAACTTAACAGCAACCTTACCTTTTCATTATTTTCCTCCTCATCACACAAATGAAATGTGCTTTGAGTTCCTCGTAAAGGCTTTGGTATTTAAGAATGGATAGACTGTCTGTAAAGATACCAGAGATTTCCTTTCTTTCCAGGGCATGAAAAAGGACAATATGAGGGATGCCAGTGTTAACATGCATGTGTCCTTGTTAAGGTCAAGTGACAGGCCCAAACAAAGTCTGCAAGAAGGGTAGGACTTTACATGCAGCTTGACAGCTCATTTGGGAAAGACACATGTCATGTATCTTTTCGTAAAGCGAGCAGATTTTGGTAAAATGAACAACTCATCTCTTGCAGACTTGAATGTCTTTTCTCAGGTCAGAGCCCACTAGTCAGAGAAAATAGGTTGATGCAGTGCATTGTAAAAGCGGAACCAACACTTCAGTCTTTCTTCACCTTATTCTAGTGAATGTTGGAATGAAGTCCAGAAACAGGCCCAACATTACTACGGACTGCAGCCAGACGGGAAGGACTCGTTTGTCAGGATACAAACTGTCACTGGATCCCAAGTCTGACACCAAGCTGTTTAATTGTCTTGTTGAAAATTATAATTATCTCATTTTGACAAATAGCATTGTTTCATTTTTGTTCAGAAAACATTTTTAAAGAGAGAAAAGAAATCATGAAATGTGATAGTACCAGAAAGTCAGAATTTACTGGCATTCCTTGGGACCTGGGTAATTTTTACAGCCCATTTCATAGGACTAAGGAGCTTTTGAATAGTGTTGCACAGGTGTCACAAAAAAATGGCTTTCCATTCAGGTGATATCAAATAGCCAAATGCTCTGAAAATTCCAGGCCCTCAAGTCAGAGTTTCAGAAAAGAGGTTACCTTCTTTTGCCCATCTTTCCAGACCTGTTTCCTCTACCTGCCTTAGGTCAGACCTTGCCAAGAGTGGATGATCAGGCAATGGCACATGGTGGGCAAGGATGAGAATAACACAAAAAAGGGCATGGCGAAGTACAGAGGAGACACACAGGCAGAAATGGATGGATACCCTACTGGAGGTGAGGCTGTGCAAAAGAACCAGCCACTGGCATCTCTAATTTGGTTTTCCATGAGAAGCCAGATACATGACTTGGTATGTCTTTGTTCTCACATCTTCTAGCATGTCTCTGGGCAGAGCACCAGAGTAGAGGATATGGGTGAGCCAGTCAGGTGACCTTTTTCTCTGAATAAGGTCTTCGAGGTGGAATCACTGAACATTCAACCCCCAAGGGCTCTTGCTCTAGCACAGAGAAGGGGTATGCCCACCCGTTTCTGTCAGATAGCCTTTGCTAAATGCAAAACTAACATTCCAGGGATGTTCACAGGTGCTGTGAAGGTTGGGGGAGGGGGTAAAACAGAATTACAGCTGTAGTGAAATATATGTAGCTGAGGAGATTAAAATAATGTTTATCCAAAGGACAGAACTCTAAGTATTTTTTCCTTTCAAAACAGATGTAAATAACAAGTTTCTGGACCATAAAACAAGCTGTGGTGTCTTGCAAGGGCTCAACAGAACCTTCTTATTTTGCTTTTGGAGAAACAGAGAAAGCAACTGATAGCATGAGGATATGTATGTATGAGCCGAGAGACAGCCAGCTCGCTGTGCAAGGCTGTGTTAGGACACCCAATCTTCTCCGAGAGTTGAATCCATGCTGTACTTTGGATGTGGATTTTTCTTGTTGTGTCTGGTGTTGCCTGGACCAGCACTGAGGAAGAAGAACACTGGGTGATGTAGGTCACTGTGCTCCTAGAAATTTGGGTTGTCCTTCCTATTTGGAGTTTCAGCAAGGGCGATCCCCTAACTACATTTTCATGTGCATATCATTTCACTGGTGTCCTTTCAGGGCTTACAGTCAGGATGTAACAGGTATCCAGCAGAGTGATGTTCCATAATCCCTTATGCAAAGACAGCCTTGCTAGTCACCTGGTCTAGCAAACCCAGAGAAGAAGAAATCATTGGAAACAATCCTGCAAAGCCCAGCTATGACCATCCAGTCCAGACTTCCAAAGAGATACTGTGACTGAAGTTTCTCCTGATTTAATTGACATCCTTTTTCATGCAGTCTATGACAGTGTGAAAACAGAAGGTGGCAAGCAATAAGAAGGTTCTGGATGCCAGTGGTAGTGGAGGTCAGGAGCTGTTAGCCTTCAGTATAAACAGAAGAGAGCTGACTAGGACAACGATCCACAGCACTGATCTGTAAGAATGTGGCATCTTCAGGCCCACTGCGAACAGGCTCACCAAAGAGGTTTGAAGAACCCGAAGGCAGATCATACACTGGAAGAGAATTAATACAGAAAGTCAGTAACGCTTGCCTAGTCACACCCACTGGGAAGTGTAGCTAATGCTGACGGGGGCTGTGGAGGTACCATGCTGGCCTAGGGGCTTCAATGGGTAGCTGTCCTTGGGGACCTTGGTTGTGGAAGATGGTGATGTGCAGGCAGATGCCTTAAGTCTTGACACTAAATAAAAGTAAAATGTTGAAATAAAAGTCAAATGTTTAAAGTAAAGTAAAGGAAAGGGATGAGGCTGGCCTCAAAAAGGAGATAAAAAAGAATTATTAAAAGGATAGATTCTTACAGATGAAGAAGTAAGGAAGAACCTTCCAGAAGCAGGAAAGAGTGAACAAAAATAGAGAGGTGGGGGTATGTGAGGCTAGGTATGGTAGCAAAGCTCAGATGCAGAGCATGTTATACGAGGGCAGGTCCGGAGAATTTGATCTGGCCTAACACATGAGAGGTTTGAATATCATGTCAAAAAGAGCAGGCTGTGTTCCTTAGGTAGCTGAAAATTATATGTCATGTGAGCAGGGAAGTGGTTTTTTTAGCCTTCATTTTTGAAAGGCAATGTTCATGGTAGCTTGGAAGGCAGGATGATACAGGCAACAAGTTGTCTCAGGGAGACTTGTTGGAAGGTTGATGTTATAGCCTGGGAGATAAGTGATGGCTTCTGAGGTGGAGTGGTAGAAGTGCCTGGAGGAGGGCTGGAGAGGAAAATAAATATGAGAGACATCTCAGTGGTAGGTTCAACAGCATTTAATATGATCATTGCTGGGGCAAGTCTAGTCCAGGTTTCTCACAGGAAACCCACCTATTCTCATCTCTCAGCCTGCCTGAGTTTCTATATCACAGACATGAACACACCTGTAATGCCCGAGTGAGTTGAGAAGGCTCTGTGGAAAACATCAAAGCCAGCCTGGCCCATGGATGTGGGGACCAAGCAGTCTTCGAAGGCAGGCACCACACTGCAGGAGCTGCTGGGCGGCACTGTTCTCTGGGAGTCGGGGTAATGGGGGGGACACAATGTCTGCAGCTGTCCATAAAACCCTGAAATACAAACACAGTGTTGAGCTTCCTCAGGGCACAAATTCTGAAGATCATTCTAATCCAGCTGGACCCTCACCCAGCTTGGTTTCATGTGACAAAAACACACTGAACATTTTAGGCTCACGTGTAACCTGAGAAAGCATTTGGAAGCACTCTTTTCGCAGAAGGTCATCTACCTTCAGAGGTTCCCAAAGCTTGTGGATTTTACATTTTTACTTCCTGTTCTGGGAACTGAAGCTGATGGGCTTGTCATCTTTCCCAGACAATCCAAAGAGTCCTAGACACTGAAGGACTGGCTTTCAGAGGACATTCCTATTCCAGGTCCTGTCAGGCTTCAAAATCTTCCTTCCTTTCCTTTATATTACATTCCATTCTATTGTTAAATATTCAGTTAAAAATCTGGAGAAGGGTTAAAACAGGGTCCACCTTTTAAAAAACTCAAAGTCTATCTAGCCAGCTGTTCTTCTAACAGATAAATTCAAACACATCTACAGCTTCCTCAGTATTTTAATAGAAAGAGTATATAACATCCCACAGTTGGATGTACTACAGTTCACTTTTATTGCTGATTTTTTAAAGTTTAGATAACCTTGGTTTGCATTGCTGTTTATATTTTGGAAGCATAGGATCCACCCCTTCTGGTGCTATTACCATGGGGCTCCACTGGCCTGAGACCAGTGTATTCCCTCCCTACTCTGTGCTTGTGGTTTCCCCTGCCCCTCCTCTTCTGAATATCTCAGTTCTATTATCTGCTTTCATGGGTCAGTTTCTGAGTTTGACTTTTTGTGACCCTTTGATTTCTCTGGATTGTACATATAAGTGACATCATCTGGTATTTGTCTTTCTCCTTCTGACTTACTTTGTGTAGCTATTATTATTGAGTTTTACAATAAGTGGGAAAACTGCAAGTGGATAAATAATATAATAAGGACATAGAGGAAAGATTTCTTAATATTTAAAAATAGTCATCAATATTTTGTTAATCCTATCTCACTTATCTCTTTCATTTTTTTTTTTTTTCATCGAATGGCATTGTCCCTGGGATCCTGTGTGGTCCCTTTCTGTGCTCTTCCACATTTTTAATGACTCCTTACTTTCTTCTTTCTTTATACATTTAAGTCAGTGGATTACTTCCTTCTAGTACAATATACTTTTAAAAATACAATAAAATCTTCACTTGCTACTTTATTGAAGGGAAAGTCGCAGCTCTTCTGCAGTCTCTCTCCTTTTCATTGTGTCTGTTTTTTCAACTATAAAATGTTAATGCTATTGTCTATTTCAATGAGCGATTATGAAGATTAAGTGAGTCACTGGATATGAAAGTACATACATAACATTGTAAAGTGTTTTATACATGTCAGTTGTCATTGATGTCACTACTCTGTTTCTAGAGGGTAAAAGATGGGGGGTTAGTAGAGGAAATGCCCTTCCATAAACATTACATGATGGAGAAACATAACTAGATCATGGACTTTGGGTTCCTGTACCTAACTCCATGAAAACTGCTTCTTTTTAAGACTGGAAGCTTTAAAATCTGGCTAAAGAAACTTGCCTCCATCAGCAGGAAGAGGAGGAACTATTTGGGTTCTTTTTAGCTCTCTGTAAGTACAACCATCTATATCCCATCTTGTTTCTGATCAGTACCCTCAGCTAGCCTATGTAACTTCTCAAATTACCCTTGTTGGGCAATCTGTTGTTTTATTGTTGTGGGACACCAAAGAATGTATGCTTTGTTCATAAAGACACAGACTGGCCCTCTAGTGTTCCAGGGATTGATCCAGGGATTGATGTAGATTTATGCACAGAGCACACTCAATAGAAAACAAAATAATAATATTCTTTGTAAGTATGTGTCATTCAGAACCAAGAGAAATATCCACATAAGGCTTGGGAGGAAGACCAAGAAGTAAAAATCGAGAAAACAATAAAATACCATAGTCTACCTATTACATTAGTTAAGACATCTAAAAATCATCCTGAGTGCTGGAGTGAGAATGTTAAAGAAGGTTCTTCTAGACAGTATTTGACATTAAAAAAAGGATATACTTTTGGGAAAACAATTTGAAAACCTATACCTTAAAGCTGTATACAAATTTTGCGTATGGGGATTTCACTCCTGAGCTTGTATCCTAAAGTACATTCTAAAGGACAGAAGAAATCCTGCACATAGTCGTCACAGTGCAAGCTACCCTAGCAGGAAATTGAAGAGCCCAATGGCTAGCCATCGAGAATAATTAAGCAAAGAGTAGTAGGTTTACAAGATGGGAATACTAAGTAGTCATTAAAACAATATTTCCAAGGAATTTTTAATAATTTATAGGCCAATATAAGGTCATTTGGAAATCAAGCAAAATACAAAACTTAATCTGGTGGCTAGAAATGTGCAATCTATGTATAGAATAGGTCACAAATTCTCTGGGGGCAAACTGCCTGGGTTCAAATTCTAGCTTAACCATTTACTGACTGTGTATCATGGTAAATTACTATAGCCTCATAGTGGCTCAGTTTTCTAATTTGTAAAATGGAATACGAGTAGTACTGAGTCCTCACTGAACATTTAGAAAATTAAATGAATCAATATTTATATTATATAACTTGATAATATAACTAGTTATATAATTTTATATAAATATTTAATACTAAGTATGCTTACCAAAGGAGTAAAACAAAAAATTATAATAATTAGTTCAGAAAAATATATATAATATACACCCAGTTCTCCATATAGGTGGAATCCTCTGGAAAACTCTTGGAATCTCTGGAGACCTAAGCTATATCCCTCCTGTCCATGCTGGTCTCTAGACTATGGACTAATTAACACACATTCTGATTTCTTCCTTTATATAAAGTTTTTTCTGTTTTGAGCAAAAAGGTTAAATGGATGGAAGGAAACTGGACTGTGTAGTTTCAAGGTCTGGGAAATTATTTTGTCTCATCTCGACTTTGGATAGTCAGTGGCCAGGCACATATAAACATGGCATATCCATCATCACTGGTTTATTAGAATGCAATGTCTCCTTACTGAGCAAATTGCTAATTTATATCCTTTCCATGGTGGCTCTGCTCACCTTTGTCACCCATAAATTTTCTGATCACATTCCTCAGTCTAATAATAGCCTTCTAAGAACAACAGATGATAGTGCTACAAATTCCCAGATAAGACCAATAATTATTCAGGTATTTCAGGTACAGTGATAAAGACTTTTACTGGCTTTTTGTGACAATCAATTGGGCTCCTCACATCTTCTCTCCAGCTTCCAAAAGAGAGTAGAAATGTCACATGACTGCAGTCCACACTTCAGTGTTGTCAAGTATAAAAACTGATACAATGAAACATACCCAGTGAGGTTAAACATTAAACCCGACATTCTGGCTCCATCTTGCAGATCCCTTGACCATCTGGTATGAGTGAGAAGACAGAGTGGACCATAATTCCTGCCTGTGGGTGTCTTGGCTAAACTGAAAAACAGTTGAACTAGAATGGCCCCACAAGCATGCTTTATCACTCTCACAGCCAACTCAGGGAAAGAAAATCCTCTTTCTTCAATCTCTACCTCCAAGAAGCCAATTACTAGAGATGCCAAATACACTGGTGTGGATGACTGTGGTCACTCGAATCAGAGCTTTAACATAACCTCTTCCCAGTACTATTTCCACAAAACTAATGAAATTTAAAAAAATTCCACTAGGGTTTTGCCACACACATAAATGCAGAGAAAGCCTAACTCACACTGATGAATGACTTCTGTATTCCAGCTGCTGGATCTCACATAGTAAGTCTGGAAGGAACACTACCTCTTGGACCCAAAGCAAAATGAAGCAAGATGTTAACACATTTTGTGGGCATAAAACATAACAGGAATAGCAAGGTCAGCCAATTTGTCAGTCAATCAGTAAGTCTATGATAGTTAAGGTGCTGTTGGAGAGACCAAAGAAAAAGAAGATAATACTTCACTCCCTGGGATTGACAATGCAGCTGGAGCAAGAACACATACATCTATAACAGCAGAAGAATATACATATAAACTTGTGTTGGCAATAAGTATCCATTGTCGAAACTGGTCACAAAATCACCCCTCTCCTGTTTTGGAAGCTATTTTATCTCCAAAAATGAAGGCAACTGAAAGGAATTTGCCGATAAAATTTTACATAGATTATAGCTTCTAAAGGTTAAGGATAATCATTTCACCTTTTCTCTATTTGGGGAATTTTTTTCCTTCTAAAAAAAAAAACTCAGTTTTCAAGTTATAAAAGATATTGGGGCTTAGTTATACCAAGTAGGGAGTGTGAAACAATATCGACAAAGAAAGGAAAAAATTATCTTTATCTCCACATTTCAGCTATGGCCAGATATAGAGGCAAAAACCTGGAATATTGTATTTATTGTTTTGTATCCTGCTTTTTGCCCTATTATTATCTGTAACTTCACATTTACTAAAATTCATTCTTAAAAACCTTTCCTCTTTACTTTGTCACATTAGGTCACTAATGTCTCTGTGATGACAGGTTAGGTCAGGCATTCATGGTCACTCTTGCTGTTAATGATGATAAAGCAGCCCTATGAAGCTGGGTGTGCATTTCCTTTCCAAAGGTGAAGGGGAGTGGAGGAAGTTAGAAGAGAAAGGAATTGCATGACTAAATATGATTAATACAAAGGTTTTCTCCAGAGCCGCACTGTCCAGTAAAACTCTCTGAAATTATGGACATGTACTGTCCAAAAAAGAAGCTACAGATCATTACTAAGCACTTGAGACATGGTGACTCTGACTGAGAAAGTGACTTTTCAATCATTTTTCATTTTAATTAAGTTAAATGTAAATAACCACACATGGCAAAGTGGCTACTATATTGGACCATGTATCCTCAAAGCAACTTGCATTCCTAGGTTTAGCAAATTTTATTTCAGGAATGCTTCTGATTAAATTCCTGGGGAGGGGAAACCCACATAACCCACCAAGAATTTAAATAAAAACCAGATAATGGTTCTTAGACTCCCAGTC